CGAAGTGTACTGGTAGACATGTTATTTATTCTTTACTCCAGTGTATTCATGGAAAGAAAAAAAAAGGTAGTAGCCTTAAGAATGTCTCTGCTGAAGCATCACTTTTAATAAATCCAGTTTCTTCAGTATTTTTGATAGTCCACATGATGAAATGGGAATTACCATACAGCACTTTTACTGCATTCTGAGATACAGTGGTTGACTTGAGATAAAGCACTCATGCCATTGTTTGAGTTCTGAGCTAAACTAGCACATTTTGCCTGGAACACTATTTTTACTTTTTTGTTTGTTTGTTTGTTTTGTTTGTTTGGCAGTACAGGGGATCGAACTCATGACCTTGCGCTTGCCAGGCAGGCACTTATGCCACTGAGCTATATCCCCAGCCCTATTTTTACTTGAATGAATGACAAACTATAATATTCAGATGTGGCAAACATTTTCTCAAGAGTTAATAAAGCAAGATCTCACTTCAAGACTTCACTATTGACATTATTTGACACCTATGATAAAATTTAAACTTTCAAATGAAAATAAAAGTTTTGGGAAACTCATACACATCTCAGTGGGCTTAATAACTTTCCAATACTTAAATATTGTACTTTTATGGTGAGATCAGTAGTAATACAGTTTGAATGAACATTGTTCTTTTTATATTGCATAAAATGGTATGTGACAGTATTTGGAAGAGCTGTATAACTCAGTGAACTATATTTTCTAAATGACCAGTGCAGACTATTTCAGACTGAATCATCCATAGTAAAAGATCATTTCAAAAGGTATATAGATCAATAGGTTTCCCTGAGGTGGTTTAGATTCCACACTGCAACGAACTTTTAAGAAATTATCGTTTGTCAAGTGTTGGTGCAATAACAAAGAAACATATCCACAATTATCTGGAAACTCTATTAAAACATTCCTTTTCCCAAAACTCATATCTTTGTGAAACTAGATTTTCTATATATAGTGTAATCAAAATAAAATATCACTCCATTAAATGGAGAATCTGATATAAGAATGCAGTTTCCTCTTAAACCAAACATTAGAGTTTTGCAAAACTGAAAAAACAATGCCACTGTCTTCATTTTTTAAAGTTTGGAAATAGATTTATTATGAGCAACCCTGGAGTTGGTCTGCCTGGATCCAAATCTGAGCCCTCAGAGTCCTCCTCCTATGAAATCAGAAGAGTAATGTCACTTACCTTAAGTACTTAAAATTCTCATACATTTTTGATATAGAAAATATAAATATCTACACCTATATAAAGTAAAGGTTTTTGATGTCCTCAATAATTTTTGACAGTGTAAAGCTATTCTGAGACCAAAAAGTTTAAGAACCATTAGTCTAAATACCTCTCTAAACTTAAGCTAGTCTCCTATGGCCATGCATAGAACTATAGGGCTTAGGGCCAAATCTTACAGTAAGAAATGATCACTTCCTAGGTAAGGTAGGCAGAATATTGTTAAGGAGTTAGAACAGGACCCTGCTAGCTCATTTTCACAGTCACATCTAAGTCCAATATCTCAGGACCACTGAATTCAAGTAGAGGCAAGCCAAAATCTTTTTTGGAAACAGGCTGCCCATCTGTATCATGGAAAAACAAATTGCTGATTAAGTCCCTTTTAATCAGGAATCCTGTTTGTTCCCCATATGAGTGTCTCCATACAGACTAGGGAGAAACTTGTTCTTTTGTGAGTCAAACTAGACAAAAGGGACTTGTAACTGGATGTCACCAGGATCCACAATTTCAGGCCAAGGGGGGATATAAAAGTGTTAGAACATTCCATTGCTGGAATGGTACCATGGTTGTATGTAGACATTTAGCTCTAAGACTGATATGGCAACCCCTCTGTTGTCTGCTTCCTTTTCAAAGCCAGCCTTGAATGAAGCTCAGGCACTTCCAGATTCTTCAGTCTGAAATTATACTGTGATACTTGAATGTTGTTTAGGGTATGTATCTAATAAAGAATAAGGACCATAAGAAACCATTTCACGGGGCTGGGGATTTAGCTCAAGCGGCAAAAGCGCCTGCCTGGCAAGCGCAAGGTCGTGAGTTCGGTTCCTGGTACCGGAGAAAAACCAAAAAAAAAAAAAAAAGAAACCATTTCACCCATTTCAGCCTCTTGGTGTTCTGAAATTTCTATCTCACTGGGACGAAGAGAGTCAAAATATGATCTAACTCAAAAATAGGTTGTAGTGGATTGACAACTGGTGGTCAACTTATAACCCCCAGCTGAACTGAGTAAGCATGGTGTTGAGCGTGGGAGGCCCACCTGAGGATTGCTGCTAGCAGCAAAAGAGGCAGAACTGGAGAAGAAGGAGGTTGGGAGCAGAGAAAGGCTGTTGGGAGCTGGTGGAAGCTGTAAGGAGCTGTTGGTTCTGTTGGAGGAGCTCCTCATGCTGGCTTTCCTGATGAACTTGGCTGTTTTCATCCTTCGAGAAGCTCGGGACCTTGTTGGCACTGAGAATAGCTTCTGTTCACTTTGGGGGAGCTCTGGTCCTCACTTTGAGCAACACTTCCTGGCTCCGGAGGGGAAAAAGGTACACTGCCAGTATCCTGAAGAAGCTTGCTGCATTGGCTTTCCTGATGGGAACTCAGCTATCTTCACCATTACAGGGGCTTGGGACCTCACTGTTGCTGACGATGGCTGTGGTACCTTTTGGGGGAGCTGTTTCTTACTTTGCCCGTGGCTTCCTGGCTCCAGTGTAGATCCCTCAGCCTGCTAGCACAGATCCTTCATCCTGCCGGCACAGATTTCCTAGATTGCACCACTGACCTCTGGGCCCTCCCAGCGCAGATCAGTGAAATAGGCCTGCATGAGATATTGTCACGGGCTCTGGGCCTCCAGCTGCATTCATGGGAGGCACTGTTATGGGCTCTAGGTCTTCAGCTGGACTCATGCAAGACATTATCACGGGATCCAGGCCCTCAGCTGGATTCCTGGTCTATAGTGTGTAGACAGAGTTCCTGCACTCTTTTGTATATCATTCTTTGGGTGACTACTATAAATAATCTTATAAAATATGTGTCCTGTATTATATCCTCCTTGCAATCTCTCGCAAACCAACACATATATTGTCATCCAAGAAGATTGGGAAACAACAAGGACCAATTCTGGCATCAAAAGGAACTGTTTCTGAAAATAGGAGACAGAGCATGTCACGAATGGATTCAAAGCAAGAACTGACTGGAAGGTGCCCAGCAGACTCTTCAAATCTTTTAATCATTGGAGAAAGCTCTCCTTCTATATTGTGTCAATCCATCTTGGTCATAAATTACCACTTCCTCAAGATTGTCGGTCAAATGTGAGGCAAGTAAATACTGACTTATGTGAACACTGGCGGCAGCCTGCTTGGATCCAAATCTCAGGCCTCAGTATCTTTTTCTGTAAAATGAGAAAAGTGACAGTATTTTTATAAGGTGCTTGTGAAGATTATCTGAGATGATGCACACAAAGCACTTAGTACAGTATACTGACAAATCGTTGATATTATCAGGGAGATTCTTTGCTTTGTATTCTCATCTACAAGCAGATTTTCCCTTATTTTTCTACATAAACCCTTCCCGGTCTGCTGCTCTCCGGAGCATCTGGTCCTGCATAACACTGAGTCATCATTAAGATGCGGAGTTTCGGAAGTCATCCCTCTTATTGCTCTCCAGGGCTCCCTCTCCTGACTACTTAGCTTTGCGTAGAGACCTAGACCTAAATTCTGTGACTGCAAATCTCTTGGGAATTGGCTTCCTGTTTTGAAGAAACGGCCCCAGTCCCCCTGGCCCACAGACCACCTAACGGTACACTGAGATCTCACTCCCAATCGAGTCCCTGCCCGGAAGCGAAGTGAGGCGGGGGGCGGAGCAGCACTCAAGGGTGAGAACGAGGCTGGGGGCGGGGCTGCGCTCCTTCCCACGAGCTAGTGGGGCCTAGGCGAGGCCACACCCCGAGGTGAGCGTGCTGGGGGCGGGGCCACGCCCGAAGGTGAGAACGAGGCTAGGGGCGGGGCCGCGCCGGGTAGAGCGGCTGGAGGTGGGGGTCGTCCACGCCCTAGGGCGGTAGGACTCTGAGGGACGCGCTAGTCGCCTCGTCGGTTCGGTGGCGCGCGCAGCCGTTCTCCCCCCCACACCTCTCGCGTGAGGCAGCGCAGAGGTTAAAGCGGCCGGCGCCACCTGGGCGCGGCTGAGGAGACGCGCGAGCCGGCGAATCCCGCGCGGGCGCAGCG